TGGGAGGCCACTTCTTGTCTCTGTTTTTACCGATGGTATACCATCTAACGAACAGGAATCTACGTTTACTGATGCGATCCTAGAGTGTGGTGATATGCTCGAAAATGCTGGGTACCGTCGTGGGAGTACGTTTGTCTATAATTTTTCTATCTCCCTTTCTAACCTATCCCCTCTTAGTAGTACTATCTGCTGATTCTATCAACCAACAGGTGTGAGATTCATGGTTGGCCAGATAGGGACAGAAAACTCTGCCAGAATGTTCCTGGAGAATATGAGGCACAACGTCGCAATCGCCAAAGTGGTATTCTGTATTTCAGGTAGATCAATTATCCAGTTCCAAACACTGTATATCGCTTCCTTGTGGTCATTATCCTCTAATATATCACAGACCCGCTAGATACAGTGTTGAGGGAATACGACAAAAATGAGGAGGATTTAGACGGATGGGTAAGCGATCTCTACTCATCTTCTGGCCCTGTTTTCTGGTGTAGGCGTTGCTAACCTACCTCTTCCAGCTAAGTGAGACTTTGTTCTCGTCAATCTGGGATGGGAAGGATGAGGACGAAGACTACCAGTTGATACCTACGTGGCCTTGGTAAGCCCGGTCGTAAAGCGTCCCCATGAATTGGTATCCCTCACCAGAGATCCATTTACTCTTACTCCTCTTTCATTCCGTAGAACAAATTGTCAAAATTACCTCCCTCCTATCTGTATCGTTCAAGGTTAGGAGGATGCCACTATAATGCAGTGAGGGCTGGCTACCTACATCAAATCATCCTTAGTGGTGTAGAGGTAACATCCGACTCTCTCACAGTCGTGCCCGGGGTTCGATTCCCCGCTAGGGAGATTTCTTTTTTCCATATAATTTTTGGCAGTCGGACAATCTATTATCCGTTATTGATGCTTCTGTGACTCGAAAAAAAATGAGTCAAGTTGATACGGCCTATAAATTAAGGGATTAAACGCTCAATTCTACTTTCTGCATTGTATTTTTGTCCAGCGAGTTTTTTGAATGCCGTGCCAGCGTGTTCCGCGGGTTTTTGGCTGCCTTCGACTGTCCGTTCGAGCCCAACAGCCAATTCGGCTCCCCTCCATCTCAACTCTAAACTCCGTCAACTGCCCCTCCCTTCTCGCACTACGCTGCTCACCCTCTTCCCTCCGCCGCTATCACAACGACACCACCCCCCCTGGCCAGATAGACACCATGGCGCCCAAGAATAAACCATCCTTCACGCTCAAAACCCCCAAGGGGACTAAGGATTGGGCTGGCTCCGACGCTCTTCTCCGCGACTACATATTCAGCACGATTACCAATGTTTTCAAGCGTCACGGCGGCATGGCACTCGACACGCCTGTGTTTGAGCTCCGTGAGATCCTGGCGGGGAAGTACGGCGAGGACTCGAAGCTGATATACGATTTGCAAGACCAGGGTGGGGAGATATGTTCGCTACGATATGACCTAACAGTCCCATTTGCGCGATGGCTGGCGATGAACACGGATGTACGCAGTATAAAGCGGTATCACCTAGCCAAAGTTTATAGACGGGATCAGCCAGCAATGACAAAGGGGAGAATGAGAGAGTTTTATCAGTGCGATTTCGACATTGCGGGCGCACAGTTCGACCCTATGGTTCCGGATTCAGAGGTTATGAAGATTGTTACAGAAGTTTTTGACGATCTGGGCTAAAACTACAATTATACAATCAAGATCAACCACCGGAAAATACTGGATGGTGTGTTTGAAGTGTGTGGTGTACCACAGGACAAGATACGGACGATTTCCAGCGCAGTGGATAAATTAGATAAATCGCCGTGGGAAGATGTCCGGAAGGAAATGGTTGACGAGAAGGGCCTTGAAGGCGAGGTGGCTGATACTATCCAAACATATGTTATTCGAAAAGGAGGACGAGATCTCCTTGACTCTCTGCTGTCAGACGAGAAGCTCACGGCGAATGCATCCGCCAAAGCTGGCTTGGACGACATGACTCTACTAATGGACTACCTAGATGCCTTTGGTATCCTTGACAAGATCTCCTTTGACATGAGCCTTGCGCGTGGTCTCGATTACTACACTGGCGTTATCTACGAGGTTATCACCGAAGGCTCCGCGCCAGCCACAGCCACCTCTGCACCAGAAGCACAGGCCCTCCAACGCTCAGCGAAGAAGGATAAGAAGAAGCTAGACGCTGATGAGGATAGGTCCAACGACCCCTCTGTTGGCGTTGGCAGTGTTGCTGCAGGTGGTCGCTACGATGACCTGGTTGGCATGTTCTCGCCAAAAGCCCAGATACCCTGTGTAGGCATCTCGTTTGGAGTTGACCGAATCTTCTCCATCACCAAGGCCCGTATGGAGCGCGAGAACAACAACAACGCTCTACGAAGTAGCGAAGTGGATGTCTTTGTCATGGCATTCGGCGGTAAAGGGTTCACAGGCTTGTTGAAGGAGCGAATGCAAATCTGCAGGTCACTGTGGGAGGCAGGCATCAAGGTAAACATACCTCACTCTTTTTATACTATTGTAGTTCCCCGTCTAACCTTCGTCAACAGGCCGAATTTTCATACAAAGTAAAGCCTAAGCTTCCCGCGCAGTTCAAAGCCGCTGAGAGCAACAATGTCCCCTTTGCTGTAATACTGGGTGAAGATGAGCTAGCTGCAGGCCAAGTCCGTGTCAAGGAAATGGGACTTCCTGACGGCCACCCCGAGAAGGAAGGCTTGCTAATTGATATCGCCACCCTTCCCGCAGAGATCAAGAAAGGGCTAGAGAGGAAGAAGAACAATACAGATGCGCCAGTGGAGGTTGTAGCGGAGGATTCAGCAGCAGCGGAGATAGCGAGGAAGGTAAAGGACCTTTTGTAAGAACGGGAGAATTAAATATATCCTTTTTTTTTCAGGGGCATGCATTTTTTGGGACTTCTAAGAGGAGTATCGTTGTTAGGATTGCTCGGGATCCTCATGTAAGAAGGCGAGATGTTTTAGCAATAGAGGTCTTATTCTGATACCCTAAGTCGATACAGAACCAAAACCACTTGTAACATCGCTAGCTGTTGCATAGCTTTTCACTCTTACCCTACTGCTCTCGCCTATATCAGGTGCTTCTACATCATACCCATGCGCGAAAGCGACAGAAAAATAATTCTAGTTTTGAATTCTTTTGATAATTAATATTTTTCACTTTATTTTAAAATACAAGATAATGTTGATACACAGTGTGGGGATATATAGCTACCTCCAGAGATTAATAAAACAGTATAGAGCAAAGAAGTAGGTCAAGCAGTCGAAGCCCGCTTCATTATCATCCCCTTCAGTGCCGACAAACCATTTACCGTGTCTAGCCCAACACCTCTGGCCCACGCAAACGGCCCGTAGCCGGGGACATTATAGGCCTTATGTAGAAGATCACAGGCACCTCCAATGCTAGCATTAGTGATCCATCTATCAGCAGCGTATTGCTCTAAGCTTAACAACCCCCCTATATCCATTCCATGCTGAATAGCGTATTCAATCGCATGATGGAGAGAGATGACGTCCCCAACTCCTAAGTTCAAACCCAAACCTCCAAGGGGATGTATGACGTGAGCTGCATCCCCTACGAGGGCCACGCGAGGCGAGATGTAAGTGGATGCATGGCGGAATCGTAGTGGGAAAGCTGCAACGGTATTGGAGTGGACAGACTCTACTTCTGGTGGTACAAATGAGGGGACGGAGGTATGTTCGAGTCGCCAGGATAGTTCATCCCCATGATCGTAAAGGGTCTCTGAAGCTTCTGCTTGGCTGGATGGTAAGGAGAACATATAGTTCAAGTCTGTTATGGAGAGGCGGAAAGCAGCATTCACCATTGCCGTGAATGCATTGGGGGATAGCGATTTTAGATACGCGGCGTTCTGGACGGTGGTGGACCAGACGAGGGTAGCGTGGTTATTGGGGAGGGGTAGCATGGCGACTGGACCCCCAATTCCGGGGAGAAATCGTTGATATGCCGTCACCGGCATGGGCGAGGAGTGTGTTGAGGGAGAGAGCTTCAGGGTAGCAACTATGCCGTGTCGATCATAGTCCCATCCATCCGTAGATATGCCAGAGAATGAACGAACCGGGCTGTTGATGCCATCTGCACCAACCAAAAGACGGGCTGCGATAGTAGGAAGCTCAGGGCCGCCTTCTGTCGAAGATGAATGGGATAAAGTGAGGACCGGCCACGAGGAAAGATCAGGTCCATCCACGATATCTGTACCATTGTTGATGGATGTGACCTTCGTCGAAGAGAAGATAGAAACGTCATCACCAAGAGACTCGATGCGTGATAAGAGACCACGTATCAGGTTCGCATTCTCAGTCATCGTTGCAATTGTCTTCGACGAGGCGTCATGATCAACCAGTCCAGGTGGCCAGTTGAACGAAATATTCGATCCCGTCACTCCATCCCACACTTCCATCTCTTCGTATGGCTGAACCCGAGAGGTGTCAACATGCTGCCATGCGCCGATACTTTTCAGGAATGCAACAGACGAGGGCGTAAGACTGCTGACACGGTTGGAAAAATGTTCAGAGTCGAGTTTCCAGCTTTTAGCCTTGGTGATATCCTGGCTTTCGACGAGGGCAACTTTAAGCTTAGAAGTGATCGGGGAGGATCCTATAGGGCTCCGGTTAGTCAATTATGATATATAGTATCACAATGCAGCAAAATTAGACAGTCAAACATACTCAATGCCGCCAGCAGAGCTAGACCGGCCGGTCCCCCTCCAACGCACACGATGTCATAGATATCTGGTTGCCGGGAAACGCTAGAGGCAAACCTCTTCCGTTGTGACTGCAGCCCGCGTTTACAGGAGGTGCATATATAGGGACGCAACGCGCCGCCCAGTACAGAACGCATCTCTCAGGCTGGCAATCACTGTCTGTAATTGAAGCGTGAGCTATGAAGTTCCAAGATCGTTCTGCATGAGATTCAAGAGCCTTGGTTATTGCTTACGTAATGAAGCAAAAAGAAAGAAGAAAAAAAGGAATGACAAGGGTGGGATTCGAACCCACGCTCTCGTTAGAGAACCAGAATATCTGTTGGTGGAAAGATCACCGCTGAATATTTCTAATTAAGGTTAGCCTTAATCTGGCGCCTTAGACCGCTCGGCCACCTTGCCTGTTTACTTATCACGTGGAGTAGTCGACTCTCTTTGGGGACAAGGAAGAGCACTTTAGATAATCTACTACCGACAACATCTTCAGACATGACATACTCGCTCAACAGGAAAGAAGAAACAAAGTCGATGGTTCAGTCGGCATCTGAAAGCAATTACCGACCTTCTTGATTTGATAAAAAGATCCATCTCTACCCACTTCATTCGACACTACGGAGTACTCCTTCCGAAGCAGCAATTTCTCTAGCAGAGTGATTCCCAAGCATAGGAGTTTCCTAGAAACAGTGGCAGATGCTAAACAGATGTTAGCTGAAAGGATCTTGTAAAAGACATTTTATGGAAGATGCTTCTCTCACTTCGCTTGGCCAGGCGAGGCACATTTTCCGTATTCATATCCTTTACTCCTACACTACATAAGACGATGATTAATTAGTAGTTATGCACCAGTTTTTCATTTGGAGATAAGAGACAAGGAGGCTCATACCTGTTTATAGCACTGAAAGTGCCATGTGCATATAAAGTTGATTATAATGATCTCTTTGGGCAAGTCACCCGCGGCATTGGCGGCAGCAGCAGCGCCAGCAACGCCAGCGACGGCTGTCTGGCCGAGGACGGCGAGAGCTGCCAATATGGAGTATCCGAGCTTCATCTTGACAGGAGAGCTTTCTGGTGTTTGAAACACTTGGCCTGGCTTGGTAGATTGGATTGTTTGATATGAATGATTGAATAAATGACTGTGGATGATGTTGAGAATCAAAGGCTATCAGTTTATACAAGTGGTGATGTCTATATCTATATATTCACATCCAAGGAGAAGCTCGCTTATACTGGTTCAAAGGTTGAAGGTCTGACCGTCCATGTCGGAGGCTTTCCCCTTTGTCTGCATGCAAGTTGCTGTCCCTTCCGGCCAATATGTGCATTTAGTTACACTACACACCTCGCCCAGGCTAGCTGTGTATCACTACTTGTTGCTCTGTCCTCCAGGGAACCCGCGTTCAAGTCCAAATGCGGTTCTTCAACGGAGCTACCTATCTTCTAGTTAGCGAAGGCGTGTGGTTGCTGATCTGGTTAGACAGAATTGGCTACGACGCAATTGTACTGTTGCGACAGTCGCGGTTCAAGTATGCCACCTGCCAGCCAGCATTCAACAACTTATCTTCAGTGGTGGCAGCGGTCCATTCATTGCTTGCGGCCTGTCGCCAACCCGAAAGATGCTGGTAGTGTTGATTTACTCCGTGCATCTTCTTAGTATAGCCATATAAGGAGGTTCTAGATTTGATTGGCCAGAGTGAAGATGAAAGCGACTGGAGTTAAAGAGATGAGAAAATCACTCAGAAACCAACATAGCATACATGCGAATCACCAAAATAAGGCGATGCGAACATTTTTCCTTTATTACTTTTATCCTGTGTAGGTGTGGACATGGTGTTGAGGAGATCAAGATCGCGGCCTTTTCCTCCGGGTACTCGATGAAAATCTCCCCACACCAAGCATCAAGTATCCAATTGTATGCATCCGCCCGTCATGCACGGTGCTTGCGGGAGGACTCCGGGGCTTGTTTTGGAATCTGTGGCACAGCGTTAAAAATGTGGTGGTTGCTCAGCACATAAAACAAAGAACCTGCAGTGACCTGTACTATGCTGACAAG